GAGCTGGAAACAGCCCTTAAAGAGATCAGTAGTGAAATTTTCTTTTTTCTTATTCATAAAAAATTTTAAAATTTTTGATTTGCATGAAAGCGACAATAAAAAATGCAAATCAACAATGGGAATTTGGCTTTTACTCCGATTTTATGAGCGAATTAATCATGAGTCGAGAGTCGGTAGTCCGAGCATTGATCACAACTCAAACATAGGCCGCGCGGGAATCTTTTTAAAGTTTTCAGTTAAAAAAGAAAAAATCAAGCAAAACAAAGAAAGAAATTCAAAAAAGTCCATTATGAGAACTATAAAAACATCCTCTTTACACGGAGATTTTTCCATAATAACATTATTTTAATTAGGTTGTAAACATAAGATTTTCGTTTAGATAAAAATGAAGGAAAAATTTAATTTCTCACAAACTCAAAAAATTTTTTTTTTTAATTTGTTTGATTTTACAATTTTTGCTTAATTTTTATCTAAAAAAATTTTATTTTTAAAACTTATTTATTTTGAAAAAAACACAAGTGTATCATACAACTTTTTAATAAACAAAATCCACTTACCCGATTTGTATTCGTTACATTGACGATTTATTGATGTTGTGACCGCTGAGATTTAATGAAGGCCAAATTTGTTGTTAGAGTACCTGAAAAGAATTTAAAAAAAATTTTGAAATTAAGTACACATTTTAATAATCTAGAGACTATTTTATTTGCCGGCAAAGAAACCCAATTTTTTCGCCTTTTATTGTTTAAGGCAAAACCTTATCTAGTATAAGTATTAAAGTGTCAAGTAATTCAAAAAGTACCGATAAACTTATAAAGAACTGAAAATAATCTAAAGCGTCCCGAAACAAACTGCGAACGCTGCTAAAAAATTACAAAAGAATTTGAAAATCCTAGAAAAGTATACGAAAAATCAAGAAACGCCTAAAAAATTCAAGTTGCGGTTATTTTCCGCATAAAAGATATCAAAACGTATTTTCAAAGGATGAAGAAATTGTGCTCTACAATGAGAGAGGATCCTCATCGTACCTAAAAATAAGCGATATTGTCTTGGCGCTTTATTACTTAAAGTACACGATGCAGAAAATGTATTCTATCATTTTTGCATATTTATGGCTTTTCAATTCGAAATCTAAAACTTACTCCCATTTACAATGTGTGAATAATAAAATAGACGAGGTTACAAAGCACAGTAATATCCACTGTACAAAAGTAGCAATTGACTGGCGCTTAATTAGCATAAGAATTGACACTTTGATTTTTTTATGTAGATACAAATATTATATAAATACGTATATATATGTATATACATTTTTTTTGGAGCGCAGGTGTTGAAAAACATTAAATAGCGACAATGCCTACGTACGACTGTATGGAGGGTATTTCCAGTTGGTTTTAGGTTGTTCATTACAATCGTTTATTTTATTTATTCATGGATATACTTGTAGGTAATAGTTGTACCTAATTGAATTTATGCCTATTAGTTTATGTATGACAGCAGGGTACGAAGTATGTATATAAATGTAAGGCAATGCTTTTTTGCGAAATAGTCGTATGCGCTTATCTGATTTGAATGCTAATTAAAACTAAATTACAAAATTAAAAGTTCAGGCGATAAATCTAGCACGTGTGTAATGATTTAACACAGGCAAGTGTCATAATATTTATTCGATTTGATTTTAGGCAATGCTTCTGTTTATAGAAAAAGTGTATTTCATTATGTCTTCAAAAAAAAAAAAAAAAAACAATCGCAATGAAAAGTTATTGGTAAGAGAGTATTTTACTCTTTGAGGTATTTTTGCAAGGCCATTTTGAAAAAAGTTTTTTTAGGTCGAAATTAGGGGTCTCCTTTTAGCATTTTTCAGGTGACACCTACATATATATATTAGACTGCATCACTCGCCATACAAAAAAAAAAAATCGGTACTATTTTTCCATTGGTATTATAAAATCTATTATATTTTAAGACGTCCACCAAAATATTTCGAAAAAATATTAAGATTTAAGTGAGCTGGACCAATTTCAATTTACCTCCAAAAATGGAGTTTTTAATGAATACAAATAGTTTCTTAAAATTTTTTTTTGAAAAAATCCCCTCAAATGACAAAACGGTTTAAGCTTAAAAAATTTGCATAAAAGAATTTTTAAAAAATTTAAAAAAAATTTGAACGGAATCGTAATGATGAGATTTTTGATGCTGTTTTTTTAACTTTTTTCAAAGATTGGTATAAGAAAAACTTGAATAACTGAGCCTAAACTCTTTTGATTTAGACCTAAGAGGTTGGTGGAAAGGTATGTTCTCACCCTTTTTATTTCTTTGCCAATAAACTCATTCAAAGGATGAAAGAGAAAGGTAGGATGAATGAACGTCATTCAAAGTTGAATTAAGATGTGTTGGTATTTGAAAAAAAAAAATTGGGACACGAATGATTTTTTTTTTTTTTGACAGAAATAAAAACAGTGTGAGTGTGTCCTATCTACTGAGATCCCATAAGTCTAAATCAGAATAGTTTTGCCCCAGTTATTCAAGTTTTTCGTAAATCAATCTTTGAAAAAAGTAAAAAAAAACAGCATCACAAATCTCATTCTTACGATTCCGTTGAAAATATTTTTAAATATTTGTATGCAGATTTTTTAAGCTTAATCCGTTTTGTCATCTCAGGGGGCTTTTTTCAAAAAGTTCTTTAATATTTTTCCCAAATATTTTGGTGAACGTCTTAAAATATAATAACTTTTGTAATCCCGGCGGAAAACCGCACCTTTTTTGGTGATGCAGTCTAATATACATGCATATCGTCGTTTAAAGTACAAAACCGCGTATCGTCATTCTGCAAAACCGCGTAACTGACATTGGCTGCCAAAAATTTCTTATCCATTCGTCCTGAAATATACTAGCCAGAAATGCGACTGCTCTATAAAAAAGAGAACCATATTGAAATATGAGTGTTTTTACGCTCTAGAAAATAATTTTTACAACTTCACATACGCGGTTTTGCATTTTGTTGATACGCGGTTTTGCACTTTAAACGACGATATGTACATTTGCCCATAAACAGTAGTTCCACTGCAATAATCAAAAAACTGCCGTATCAAAAGCTGAACGAATTTTTGGCGCGCTTAATTTACTGACATTATGATGGTACGAGTAAGTTGGGGTGAAAGAAACTGAGTTATGGTAGGTAAGTACTAGAACAGGAACTTAAGGTCGATGAACTTTGGAATAAAAACATTATCTCTTCGAGACAAGAACATCGATGTATTTTACTTTTAGATATGACGAAAGATGTAAAAAGGCGGCAGGCCCAAAAAAAAAATATATTGCTCGAGATTGCCTTGCAAAAATACTTTAGACTCAGGGGTTTTCCGGTCTACACGGTACGGTCTATACATACGTATGTATGTACGTATTAAAATTTTAAATATGTATACGTACACATTTGGCTTATTTTACTTATTTGTCGGGTTTCTAAAATCACTTTGTCGGATATTGCTAATCTACTAAATAAATACAATTGTTTGTGCTTTACTTAACATTCAAAGTATGCCTGTACTGGCCTCACTTCGAGCTATTTTATAATTTTTTATATTCAATGGATTACTATTTGTACTGTGTTTACATAAGGGATGTTAATTTTTCAGCTTCTTCCGATGCCGGGATTTTCAGTATGTCGTTATCACAGTCCCGGGATCCCGGAATTAGGCCCAGGATTTAGATATTCATTACTTTTCAAAAACTTAAATAAATAATAAATAAATTGGTTTGAAACCTACTTTTTTATTTAAAGTGAAGTTTTTATTTTTGCTCTCTGACGTCAGGATTTATTTTAAAGGACTTTTTAATTCCAAAGATATGATTCATTTCAAAAATTATTAAAAAAATTTAAAATAATGTAGAATAAAAATATGGGTATCAAATGCAAAAGGAAATTTCTTTAATTTTAAAAAAAATTAAAATTTTTTGTATTCACAACGACGATTAAGTAATTTTTTAAACTGATAAGGATAGAAGGACGACATTCGAGGATGTTATCAAGTTTATATAAGTCCTTAACATATAATTTTTTCAAAAAGAAATATTGCGAAATTTCAAGCTTACAACTTTAAAAGGACATTTTCAATACTTACCAGCCCTTATGCACAAAAAATTGAATCTGTTTAAATTCTACAGAATTTCCACTTCAATTTGATACCCATACTTCCTCTCTAAGCACATTTTTCTGAATTTTTTAAATCATTTCTGTATTACTGACGTCAGATTGAAAAACTGAAAACGCAATTTTACTATATTTGGCCCATGATTTCGCGAATATAGTGATATTTGTGTTTAAAATTTACTATCACGCGGTGTTATATGTATAATGGGCTATAAATTTATAAAAAAATATTGATTAATAATAATAATATTGCCAATCTAGTAGTTCGGCTCAGTTGAGAGGTAAATTGTGGAAATTCTTGTAGAAAAATACACTCAAACAAAAAAAGTTCGCTGTAAAAGGCAGGAACTTTAAGAACCGAGTGTAAATTCTGACGAATGTGACGAAAAAATGTAAGAAGGCCCAAACAAATTTCGAAATCGTGTTGAAAAATACTTTAGCCTCAGGGGTGTATAGCGGTTTTTTTTAATGGTACAGTCTAATTGTACATCCATACATCTTCATATACTTGATTAAATATACCTAAAAAAATATATATTCCGACGAATTGATAACCTTCTCCTTTTTGTGAAGTCGGTTAATAATTGAATAAGTACTCGCCTTGATATGCAATATGTATTTATTATTTGTAAGTTTTTTTTTTTTAAATAATGTACAAACATTTTGCGAGCCATTTGCAGATTAAAGTGTAGCGTTTTATGAGGAGATGTGTGTATGGATATGTGTTATATATTTTTTATGTACGATTGAGTGTTTTCCGCTTTTATCTCAGCGGATATGTCGGCATTGTTTTTTATTGGAAATGAGTTCCTTTTTTAAATTGTATCTTTTTTATTTTATTTTGCAGAAAAACGACTTCTATTGTTATGTGATATTCATGATGAATAAAAAGACATCAATGCAGCTGCGACAGGAGCAACGCGAATGGTTGCAGGTAATTGAAGAATTTTAGGGTATCTAGTTGAATTCAAAATAATTTTTGGTAGTTCTAAACTACATAGTAGTTCTATTTTAACTGAATTAATACAGCCGGGGATGAAAAAGCTCTGGTAGAACTTCTGAAACGAAGATATCTTATTTGATTTACAATTGCAACTCACATTGGAGAATTAGACGGAATCCCTAGCTTCACAACCTTTCCGGTATCTGAATCATACACTTTGTTAAGGACGCGGCATTTAAATTTTTATGCTTGTGCATGAAAGTGCATTAAAATGTGAAAGCTCGAAAAAGCTTTTTCTGAAAAAGGCCACTGGAACTTTGCGCGTAAAAGCTCTATTCTTAATGATAATAAAGTTAATCTAAAGGTTTGCGAGCTTTCGCCTACAAAATTGCATTGTAAATAAATCAATTAGTGCGTGAAAGCTCGCAGATTTCATACAATTTTGGGATATCCTAATGGCCCCTTCTCATGGGCCTACTTCAGTCGATATAACAGTACAAAAGTGAAAAATAGAGCTTACCACCACTTAGTTAGTATAGCAGTGTTATAGCAAATAATAAGTTATTGGTTGGAGTTTGATCACCAATTGGTT